GGTGAAGTCAGCTTGATGGTGGCACTGGAGATGTCACCTCTGAGAACGGTGAAGATGGTTCGCTTCCTGGTCGTGGAGGCTAGCTCTGCCTACAACATCATACTGGGGCGACCTAGATTGAATTCATTCTAGGCAGCCATTTCCACTTATTGCATGAAGATCAAGTTCCCTGTAGGGGATGAGGTTGGGGAAGTACGGAAGACCTGTTGCAATCTCGGCGATGCTACAAGGTCACATTGAAGACAGCCGAGGCACAACATAAGAAGAAGAAGGACGACCTGCCTGAGTGCTCCCACCGGGAAAAGAAACAAGAGTTGGGGCAGAGCTCCTGGTACGACCGTGGAACATATCACATTTGAAGAAATATTATGCGTCGTTGGAGACATGCTATCATTAATTGTTTTCGTTTGTTATTGTTTATGTTTCGGAAAGACAAGTAATAAAATTGCATTTGAAGTTTTTTCAGCTTAACTCTTTTCATGTGTGATGTGTGTGCAGGGCGCAAGCCTGTCAGTCTCGCCTAAGCTCGCGGAGCTAGGCGACGACCTCCATAGGGCGCAAGCCTATCAGTCTTGCCTAAGCTCGCGGAGCTAGGCGACGACCTCCATAGGGCGCAAGCCTGTCAGTCTCGCCTAAGCTCGCGGAGCTAGGCGACGACCTCCATAAGGCGCAAGCCTAGAAGTCTCGCCTAAGCTTGCGGAGCTAGGCGACGACCTCTTTAGGGCGCAAGCCTGGTAGTCTCGCCTACGCTCGCAGTGCCTAAGCTCGCGGAGCTATGCGACGACCTCTTTAGGGTGCAAGCCTGGCAGGTGACGACCTTTGTAATTAACAAGGTCGCCGTGTAAAGTAGGGAACGTAAGTCATAAAACACTTAGCAATAATTGTGCTAGGTGCAAAAGCCAATGACCACAATGCTAAGTATTTGCAAGACATGGCGAGCGGAGTTTGTCATGAAAGGGACAATGTGGTTACTTGTGCAGAAATGCGTTATGTAAATATGCGCAATAGAAACAAGCAAGCAATATAATAGAAAGGTTCACAAACGCCTACATGAGTTTACGGTTACATGCCCAAATGGAAAAGTTCATGCGAGGTTAAATGGGTTCGTGGCTACATGCCAAAATAACAAAAGAGATAAGCAAAGAAAGGTTCCATACATCCGGTCCGATAGAGAAACAAAAGTCCTAAACGAAAGTCACAAGTAG